AAATGATGTCTAGGTTTTTGTGCTTTAACATGTCCTCGGTATGATGACACCAGATTGGCAAAATATTGAGTAACAGATATATTCCCAAACTGCTTGTTTGAAAATTTCTGTAATAGGTTTTTTTAAAAGCTATGCTTGAAAATAACATTTTTAAGAAAAAGAATAGGGGGGGAAAAACCTTATATATTGAAATCAATTAAGTGTTTTGAGTAAAGTTTTTTCCTTGAAGTCTGTTGCACTTAATACTTTTCTACCATGTTAAAAAGAATTTTAAGTATATTTTAAATTCCCTGAGTTACTCATTATATAAGGTCTTTAGTAAACAACTATTTCTTCCATGAAACTACACTGAATTCTCAGGCACTTATAGTATAGTCTACTGCCCACAACAGTTCTTGCTTATGTCATTTAGAAATGACATTTAAATTGGGAAAGAAAAAAGAAGTTGTTTCCACCAACAGAAATTATCTGGTGCTTCTTCATTATTACATTTTCTGATATTGCATTAATATCACATTTTACAACATTCTAGTGTCATTTTACTGCATGCTGAGTTCCAGCTTGCATTTGTGACACTAAGTATTTGTTATAAAATAAAAAGAAAATTTTAAAACAATTTTAAAATAATTCTTTCTTTTTCTTGGTCCTATCAGAAAGCTTTCAGCAAGTAAATCTGGCTTCCCCAGTGGCTCAGTGGAGAAGAATCCACCTGCCAAGCGGGAGACATGGCTCAGTCCCTGGGTCAGGAAGATCCCCTGGAGAAGGAAACAGCAACCCATTCCAGTGTTCTTTCCTGAGAAATCCCATGGACAGAGGAGCCCTGTGGGCTACAGTCCATGGGGTCACAAAGAGTTGGACACAACTTAGTGACTAAACAAGGTAAAGTGTACATGGAATGCCTCTTACTGCTTGTTACATGGCGTGTGAACCTATACTTATCTCAATAAAACAAAGGAGACTGGAGCAAGAAAGTCAAGTGTTTCAAAACAGCAGATGCAAGCATCTCTCAGAGGGTTGGTATTCTTTTGGTTTAAGTGCAAAGAATTTCAGAAGAGAATACAAAAATGACATGACAAACCAAGCACTGCAGAATGTTTCACTTTTACTAAATTCATGTATTTAATGCTTGGGTAGAAAGGAGCTGATTTCCCAGAATGGTTATCCCAAGAAATAAAAGGATCCCCCATCCCACCCCCAACCTTTCTCGTGGGCATGCAAATAAAGCATTCCTCATTAAAAATGTCAAGCATACCCTTGCCCTCTACTCTGGTTCAAGGTGAAGGTGTTATTACTTGTATGTCCTACAAAAGGTGAGGCAATGGACATACATAAGACATTTATGTTAATCCATCTTTCTTTAAACTATATGACATTTAGCTGAAGATCTAGCATGCTTCTTACCTGTGCTTATAGCTCTGATGCAAAAGAGAATATTCTTTTCTAAGAAAAATGAGATGTCAGAACAAAAAGCAGGACTTCATGCAATGGGAGAGAAAAGGTGTAATGGGAGAGAAGTTTTGAGTGATAAGCAGGGTGGGCATCAACATTTCTTCTGTATCCCAGGCTAAGCTCTGGTATGCTGGGTACCTGAAACCTTCTTTCAAGTGGAGAAAGTAAAAAACCAATGTTCTTAAGCAGAAAATAGAACCACTTATTTTAATTTCACTAGCCCTTCAAGATGCTGTTGTCATAGCCATGCATTTAGACTGCTAAAAACTCATCTAGTAATAAACAAAAAGCAATTCACTGATTCATTGTCTTTTTCCTTACATGTTCCTCAAGTAATCCAAATCCTTATGGTGAGATATGCTATCAATATATTTTCAGAGCAACACCCACTGGAAGATATACCAAGTAGGAGGAAATAAAATAACAAATGCCCTCTAGTGGAAGGAGCCCTTTGAAGTCACTGACTTTGCACAGGGATGAATTCTGTCAGCTACCCTATGGCAGAAAGGGTTCATATTTTTTTTTTGATGGGGGGGTTCATATTTTATTAATCCTAATATTCCAAATGTGTTGCACACAGAGGTACTGAATAACAGTTTGCCCAGATAAATTTAAAATTATAAACAAAAAAAATAAAATTATAAACAGGTAAAAATCAGTATCATTTTCTGAGGGGCCTGCTTTTAAAAGTTTGCAAAATATTTTAGCACCTTTAAAGTAATGAACACACACACAAAAAGTAATGAACATATGGCATTAATCTGAAATCAGACAGACAGCTTTCATTTAAAAAGTGGAGGGACAAAAAAATAAAATAAAATAAAATGTGGAGGGACAACATCCTATGATAAACCATAATAGAAAAGAACAAGAAAAAGAAAATGTGTATAACTAATCACCTTGTACAGCAGAAATAAACACAACTTTGTAAATCAACTATACTTCAATAAAGTATTTTAAGTGGAGGGAATTTAAACTTATTTCTAATTTGAAAAGAGACAAACTCCAGACTTCCAATTTAATATCTTGTTTTAGCCTGAAGTATGCTATCTCCCATTTTCCTACACATCAGTAAATAAGCCAAAATATACTTTCAACATTTACATTACAGAGTCTCAAATGCCTTACAGTCATGTGAGGTTAAAAATTAATGGTGTTCTCCCAAAACTATGAAATATTTTATGGCTTTTGAAATATTTTTTTAGATTATATCAGACTTTAAGTCTGGTTAACAGAACATTCCAATGTTTGAACACTTTGTTCGTGTGTATAATTTCCTAGAATGAGGGAAATGAAAATTCAAATAATGAAACATACTAGGAGTTATTTGGAAATATTAATTTAAATACAACACACAAGCATGATTTAAAAATCCTACTTTTGTGAAATTGTTCCATAGTTAACAATCAGTATGAGGTTTAATAGAGAAAGATACAATTAGATGTCTATAAATATAAAGGAATTCTAAAATTATGACATATTTTCCTTCTTAGAAAGTTACATGAATGGGAAGTAACTTGTTAGTTATCATGGGGAGTTACAAGAGTGAGATAAATTTACAGATGTTCCTTAGGCAAGAAGTCAGTGACATACTGGCAAGTTGAAAAAACAAACCAAGCGTATGTTAGTATGTCACATTATTTACAAGCACACAGATGTGTATGTTCTCAAATTGATAACTGAGATTACTTTTGGAGTTAGAGTTGTGTAAAATCTGAATCTACTTTTACTCACTACCTCTATCCTCTTAGACTTAACAAGGAGGACATTACAAACTTTAAAACTAGTAGAAAAAAATTACAGGAACTATTAAGCCATAAATCAGTTTCTCTTACCTTTGGGGCTTTAGTTCCAGACTTAAGCTCCCAACTCACTATGATGGGAAACTATTTCTAAGAGATTCCTTCTTTTAACAGTGTCCAGAGAGTAAGGCAATGATTGAATTGGAATGATGGAATTGTATGACAGGCACAAGAAACCGCTCCCAACACCCAGGGGCACAGAGCATTCCACTCCTGGCATTCTGATGGCATAAGAAAGGAAGACCAAGATCTTTCTTATAACCAGAGCCGCTACCAGCAAGTGACTGTCACAGGTTCCAGAGAAGGTGACAGACTGGGACTGGAGTGGGTGCCTGACACAGTCTCAACCAAGAACAATTACTCACGCTTCTGAGCCTTTTCAAACTTTCAAAAGCTGATGATTATCATGGCTTTCTCACTATTCTTCTTCCCCAACAGAATAAAGAACATTTTCAATATTTTCCACTTAAAAACAAAAATGAATGTTTTCAAAATTCCTAAACAAACAAATTTATTGGCTAGAAGCTTCACTGCTACCAAGATCTCAACGCTCTTGCTCCCTGTGAGGAAACTGTAGATGGAGAGGGTACAGAAATGCAGTGTGACAGGGAATTCCCTGGTGGTCCAGTGGTTAGGACTCCACACCTTATTGCAGGGGACTCAGGTTTGATCCCTAGTCAGGAAACTAAGATCCCGAAAGCCACGCAGCAAGGCCAAAAAACTCCCCAGCCAAACAAGCAAGCAACAAAAATAAAAAACCACAGTGTGACATAACTCTAGAGATCAGACAGGTAAGCCAAAACCTCACATGGACATTGGTGGATGTATTCAAAACATCTATATTAAATAGCTTGAGAAGGAAAAAAACAAGGACCTCGTGTACTTTAAAAAAAATTTTGAGCAGTATTGCTTGTGCCAAAGTAAAATTTTTATTTTAATAACGTGAACTGGTTAGTAACTAAACAAAGACTTACAAAAAAAATTTTTTTTTAAAGAAAATTGAGAAGGAGAGGACATTATGTATGCAAGTTAGAACCACAGGCAATCAGACCTGGGAGGGATTCAAGGACTCCAGAAACATGGCTGATCCCATCACTGTGTAAGAACCAGAAAGGTTAAGTGAACTGCTGCAGGCAGAAGAAGAGATGAGACTGACGGATTTCTCTCCATTATATCCTGTTGCGTCCAAGAAACAGGATACAACTTTTAGTTGAGATACAGGATACAACTTTTAGTTGAGAACAACTAAAAGTAATCAGATTTAAAATACGGAAGAAAGTACTGAAAAATCTCATTCTGGACTTATTAGTAAAGACTTAGAGGGGAAAGAATACAAACCCTGTAAAATTTAAAACAGTCTTTATCTATTTTGGGCTGACATGAATTCTTAAAAATTAATTGCCCTCACCACAGATTTTCTCACTTTGTAATTCATTCACATGATACTGTCACTCTTTTATAATGATTACTGGGCTAACTCATGAGCAGCCCTAAAACAGAAGGAAAAAAGGAAAGCTGTATGCACAAGTAAGCTAAAAGACTATGCTGTCAATAAGAGATGGATAAAAAAATAAACATTCTGGTTGTCTTGAAACAACCTTCTTGGACAGAGATACACATGACCAGAAACTGCAGCCTGCCCTGCTAACCTGCCACACGGCGGGCGACGTTCTTCTGCGGACTCAGGCGGCGGCTATCACAGGAGTCCCTTGCTCCTGTCCATCATCCCCTCTCCCCCCAGAGCCTTACCTGGGGTAGTACGCCGTGTAGTTCATGAAGAGCTGGGTGCCCGCGGGGTAGTACGCTGTGGAGGGCTGCAGTGCTCGTGGGTTCAGGAGCACCGAGGGCTGGTAAATGGCAGCTTCAGTAGGAATAACTGCTGCAGGAGCTGGAAATGTGTAGGAGGGAGGAGACAGGCCTAAACAAACAGAGAGAGAGACCTTGAGATATATTAGTAATATTGACACGCACAAGCACTGAGGCCATGAGGTCGCCCTTTGAAAGAGAGACCAGCTACCTATACCGTCCCAAGCAACTGCCTTTTGATTACATAGATAATACCTACAAGCAATCTCAAATCTCACACACTCCATCTACCTAAAGAATGGTTCTTAGTTTGAAATTTGAAAAAAAAAAAACAAAAACCGGTACCAAGTGGACTTTCAAGTCGTCTCAAAATTTCATGACACATGGTTTTTATCTTCCCTGCTCCTAAGCGCAAGAAACCACAAACTAACTCTGAGGAAAGAAACATGTGACAGAATGACATTTCGTGTAGCTTCAAACTAAAAGTTTTCTCTTTCCCCCCTTGAGAGCTATCCTGCCAGCCCACCTTGTTATCGACTCTACAGCACAGCATGAGGGCAGTTACGGTAAAATACTATTCACCAGGACCGAGTACTAGCAGAGACTCTGACAGAGTAAACTAACCTAAAAGATTATCTCTGTACTGTGCACACTTCAAGGGAACCCAGAAAATGGGTTTTCAAAACTAATTGACATCTTCAGACCAGTGCAAAAAAAGAAAAAAAGTCAGATTCCTTGAAAAAGAACCCTGAAGAAATAATATGTGCAAGTCTTCCTGAGAGTCAGAGCTGATGAAAAGTGAATTCAGATTAAATTAGAAAGGACTGGATTTTCTGTCTTCTGGTGATGCAAAGTCTTTGAAGACAGCAACTCACTTAAGTCAGACCACTTGCTGGTCCCTAGCTCTAATGTGTGGGATGAGCACCACTCTCCAGGACGTCTGTGCCCAACAGGAGAGATAACTGAGAGGTGGCCTGAATGTGGGGTCCCTGACTTCAATTTTCAAACCTAGGAGGCCCAATGGATAACATTTCACATGAAAACCTCCTTCATATGCATCAAAAACTGTTACATGTTAGATACCTAATGTGTAGATAATTTAAAAATTATGATCCCTGGCCTGAAAAAGTCCAGAGAAAGGGCAAACAGAACTGAGGCACCTAAGTCATAAAGAGAGGGTCACCTGAAGTGAGCTGGAAGAAAAAAATAAGTGCAATAGAACAAGCATCCCTGAAGAGGGAAATGGCAACCCACTACAGTATTCTTGCCTGGAGAACTTCCATGGACAGAGGAGCCTGGCAGGCTACAATCCAAGGGGTCACAAGAGTCGGACATGACTAAGCAACTAAACCACCAGAATGAGCATAATGCACAAATTGGTTCTGATTTTTTTAAACGAGCAAACTCTTCCATTAAAATGACAAATAGCTGAATTTTAAAACATTTTTAGACGGTAATAAAAATACGGAAGTAAGTTTTTATGTAAAACTGCATTTAAATTTTGAAAAATTATTATTTTAGGGTTTGTGATGGGGGAAAGAGAAACACAAGTCTTAAGAAGCCTGTAATGACCATTTTTTCCACTAGGAAGAGAAAAATAAAAAGGTATCACAGTAAAAGAACTGGGGTCATACATGATGGAGAAATTCCCTTATCTTACAATGCTTGATAGATTATCAGTAAAGGAAATTGTAAAAGTTACTGATATTATCAGTGGTTTATGGACAGGAAACACACAACAGATTGCATTAAGATATCCACTTGAGCCCAGTAAAAATGTTTTAAACTTTATAGTCATTAGTGATCAACTCTTAGATATTCACCAACAGCAAGCAGCAGATAAATGGAATATTAGCATTTAGGAATTCCAAGGGCAATAAAGGATTAAGCCCTACCAAAAGTTCTATGAATAATACTTTATCAAATAGGTTTACTGGTATGGATTCCTCTTTACTAGAAAGTGATGTCTTAATTCTCCACATTTTATTGGAATCAAGCACACCATCCAGTTCACTTTCTTAGTTATCTTTGGACTATACTTTGAGTGCTACATTCTTTAAACATACCCAACATACTAAGAAAATGTCTTATTCAAAACTGAAAACTTTGTCACGAAATTGAAGTTTTGAACATCAGATCCCCAAATGTTCCTTAGTCGTGAACCAGAACTTGGTCTCCATGCTAAAGGGCTTATTCCTCTCAAACAGGATTCCAGATGGCTTGCACCCAGGTGCCAATGAGCAACAGCACGGCTTGATTTAAGCACTGATCCTGTGATCCAATGGTAACTTTGGCTAATTTATTTACGCATTTTAGTTTTTACTAACTTGCTCATTCTAGATATCTTAGAGAGCAAGACAGATGCTCTTCAGGTTATCCTTCCCCCCAAATACTTAATGCTCAAAAAATTAAAAATGCAAAATGGGCATCGAATCACCCTTTGCTTTAAAAAAAAAAAAAGAAACCCACAATATGTTGCAGGAAAAAAACAAAAAGGATCTGTCATACTTATTTTACCTTTAAATGCGTATTAAAATATCTACATAGCCAGGTTGCCTCCCAGAGTCAGTGCTTATCTTGAGCACACTAAGCTTCAGAAATCAAGTGCTTATCACTGGAAAAGCAAGAATATAATTTGAAAGGAGGTATTTGTAGCATCTCTAATTACAGGTGTCCACAACCAAGGTCTTAAATGATTATCAGATACTACCGATTTCAGATGGGAAAGCCTTATGTAACCACCTCACCTGCCTTAGAAAGAACCAGGGGCACAGAAAGTTATGAAAGCAGCTTAAGCACCTACCAGCATATAGCGTAGAATAGCGCCAAGACCCAAGAAAAACTTACATGGTAACTTACATGGCGGTGGGGATAAGCCATTTCGATTTAAAGTGCCCCCCATTAACACAAAGTTCATCTCCTCAGCTGAACACTGAAAGACTTCAACATATCTGTCCTTCATGGTTTTTTTATGACACTTCTGTGCAGCCATAAATGCTCTGTCCGCAGACTTCATCTGGATAAAGGCATCTCCTGACGGGCGGCCCTGAGCGCGTAAGGAAGAATAAAAACAAAAGGAGACTGTCTCCTTCAACAAGGAAGTGGTTGCTTACAAAACATGCACAGTGACAATCACCCATGGTACAGACATTTTAGCCGCAAAATCTGGGTGACAGTAAGATCTACTGAAACCTGACTTATGTTTCATCACCTAATCAACAGAACTGCCCACAAAACCTTGAAGAAATAAGTTTTGAGAGCTCATAGCTGAAAGCGATCCTTTTTGGGTTTTTAATAAACTAGAAATGGATTTATGGGTTTTTGAAAGGGTCTCCTTGTGACTATGGTTTCAAAATATAGGATTGTACACTGGGTTTTCTTCCCCTTTCTGAAAAATCTGATTAAATTTCACTCAACTGAGAAAAGCTAGTGGCAGAACCAGGATTAGAGCTTTACCCATCCTCCTAGTGAAAATGAACAAACCAGTGTTCTCTATGGGCTCCCAAGTCTGCCCCTCCCTGACGTGTAACATCCCTCTTCCTCCTCCCTGAAGCCTACCTAGACTGGGGTGTGGGCTGCAGGCAGGGAAGGGGAGGAGCTGGGATAGAAGAGCACGGTGACGGGCGGCGAGAGCTGGAGCACCAGCTGAGTGGGAGCCCTTCCCATCTCTCCCTTGGCATCTCCATTTTAAACCTTGGCCAACAGGTGCCTATAGACATTTCCTCTGTTACTAACAGCTTGCTAAAAATCCTACTTAAAACAAAGCTGGTGGATCTCTGCTACCCAGGACCAGAATGCCTTAGTCTTATTTAGCATAGACATTTTATGGGAGAGAAAAAAAAGATACAGCTGGCTTATAAGACTCCTTTTTTTATTTTATGGGTTTCTTTAAAGTCTCTAAGGGACTAGTTATGGCAAATGATTACCATGCAAGTTACCATCAGAGTTACCATACCAGGGAAATTAAGGACACCAGGGAAACCCAGTCCAAGATGGAAAACTAACATCTTCGAGGCAGCTAAGAGCTTGTCCATCATCAAAGAAGCACTTCTCCCAGGTGCAATCACAGTAGGTCACAAGGGTCAATGAGAGGCAAATCTGTCCACGGTTGTTAATCAAACAGTAATAATAGCCCCTAGATTACTAGAAATGGTGACTCAGAACCCAAACAATTCCCTGATGATGCTGGCTTGTGGGGAATTTGATTCAAAAGGACTCCCATCAGTGAAGCATGCCGAGAGGAGTCCTAGCTGGATAAAAAGTTACACAGCTCAAAAGTGTTGTGAGAGTGAGCACGTGTGAGGGTGGAGCATCAACCAGGGACTCAGTATCTTCTGGTTCCCTATACCCAGTGGTGTGCAGTTTCCAGTGAGACAGGATTATGGTTATGAATGTGACCCATCTTCTCAAGAAAATAGAAAGTGGGAAACTCGCAGTTTAGGAAAAGTGGGTATTTCTAATACAAACCTATATTCAGACTATAATGCACAGAAAACATCTTTTCAAAAATACAACTTGGCTTTTTAATAAACAGTTCCAAAATTTTAATTAGAATTACATGCTATATGGATATTTAGAGTTCTGTCCCGCTTATGATAACACAACATACTGGCAAATTGCCCAGCAACTAATATAAATTAACTTAATTTAAAGAGCAAGAGATACCAAGTTGAGACCTATTTTTAATATGCTTAGAATATATATTACAAACTATAAGAATCTGGTTAGATTTTCATAGAGGATTTTCAACAACTATGGCGCTAATGGTAAAGACCAGCCTGCCAAAGCAGGAGATGTAAGAGACAGGGGTTTGACCCCTGGTTCGGGAAGATCCCCTGGAGGAGGGCATGGCAACGTGCTCCAGTACTCCTGACTGGAGAATCCCATGGACAGAGGAGCCTGGAGGGCTGAAGTCCGGTGAGTTGCCGAGTCGGACATGACAAATGACTTGGCTCGCATGCAAATACACTAATACATCTGAATGTCTTTTATGATCACATACTGTTCCAAGTGGTATAGGTACAAGTTCTTTCTGAGTTTGCACTCTACTAAATGTGATTTGATAGCTACATGAAATAAGCCATTTCTAAATCATCTATGGATACAAAATACTTGGGAGCACAGACATGCTCATTGCTTTTAAATGTTGTCTATGATGGCTTTCTCACTCCAGCAGAATTCAGTAGTTGCAGTAGTAAAATGCCGATAACGTCTTTTTCTCCGACCTGATGTTATTGATGACTTGGTGGATGTATGTGATAATGTAATCAGAGCTGAATCTGAATTACTGTACCAACTCCAGCATTCTATCTGGAGCTCATCTTAGAAGATCTCTTGCATTTATAGTTAAATTTTTCCTGCAAAACTTACTATACAAACGGATGAACACTTGTTACTTGTTTACTGAGGAGTGTTTTTAAAAAGCAGCAGCAGATCAGTTTCCCAGTAAGTGGTTTTCTTACCTGGTGATTCAGTACCATGTGGACCCCATGAGTTCGGATATCAGTGGAAAACTCCCCCAGGAAGTCGAGGATATCCTCAATTGTGGCCGCATAGGGAAGACCTCGAAGGCGTATACAGTCTCTAACGTTTGTAGGGGGCACAAACTGCTGAGGTAGTACTGGAATAATGGGAGGGGTTGGAAGTGGAATGAGAGGAGCCGAGGAGAATCGATTCAGCACCTGTGCTCGAAGCAAAACAGAAGTGATTTAGAGCTTCGCTACTGCAATGCTGCCTGCAGGCCAGGGCTGGCGTTCCTGGGGAATGGCTAGAAATGCATCCTCTCAGCTCCACCCAGACCCAGTCCATATGAGTCTTCAGTTTAACAAGATCCCTGGGTGATCAACCAGCATAATAAAGTTTGAGAAGCACTCAAGCAGAAAGTCGTTCATGCTTTTCAGCTGGGAGAGCATGAACCCACTTTTATTAGAGGCATTGTGAGGTATACGCCACACACAACACAATGAACTTAGATTGACTTATTGACCTGGACAAATGCATCACCATCTGCTTTGAGAAAGTACTCAAGTCTGCAGCTTTTCAGGACATATTGTTAAATGTGGACTTATGGACAACCTCTTAGATTTTACTTCATTAAATAGTGCTTCTCTCAATATTATCTTCACATTCCACCTCCAAACTCAAGAAATATAAAGAAAACGACACAGTAAAGGAACCACAGGTCCAATTGTGACTCTCAATTATATTAAAATGTCACATTTATAATGATATATAAAGCAGAATGCCTGGATAACATAAACCTGAAAAGAAAAATCCATTAGTGAAAATAAAAATCAACTTCCATGTGAATTTGAGACAGTGGCAAAAAAGAGGATCCTATCTTTTAAGTTTATGGAATTCAGCTCTCTTGAGAATGGATAGAGGTCAGGTACATTTTGGAATGGAGAAAGAATTGCTCCCAGGCAAAACTCATGTTACAAGGCTGTTGTCTACTTCTGTTGTAGTTTAGAGAATGCCTATTAGTTGATAATACGAGGAGGTCCTTGTGCAAATGCCATGTGTGGAATCCCCAGGATTTCTGAACCATTTACCACTGTAACCTTTATCAGCTCATGTGGTGGTGGTCTATTCATTAAGTCATTCCCGACTCTTGGGACCCCAAGGACTGTAGCCTACCAGGCTCCTCTGCCCATGAGATTCTCCAGGCAAGCATACTGGAGTGGGTTGCCATTTCCCTCTCCAGGGGACCTTCCTAACTTGGGAATCGAACCCAGTTCCCCTGCATTGCAGGCAGATTCTTTACCGACTGAGCTATGAGGGGAGGCCAACTAGTTAACAGCTCATAACTAAAAATATAAGACAACCCATAAATTCCCCCCAAACTGCCCTAACTTCCTCACTCACAGCCTGTCCAATTGCTAGGTGAATAAGATGTGACAACAATAAAAAGTAAACACAACACAGCCAAAGAGAAAGCAAGACTTTGAGAAAATATACAAATAATCCAGACACAGTACAAACATTAGGGGGAAGAACATGAATAGAAAACAAATGCGGTTATAAACAAACTTGGGACAGGAAATGATCTAGCACCTACAGTACCTGCCAAATAAAAGGTGAGTAAAAAGTTCCTAAGTGATTATTAGTAACAAAGACAGCGGAAAGTCTAAGACTACTTCAGTACTTACTAAATAAATTATTAGAGATAGGAGGCAGGAAAGGGAAAACTCCCCCCTACACTCAAAACCACCTGCAGAGTTATAGAGACAGCATACTCTACATCCAAGCCAAAATACACAGCAGCCAAGGCTCTGGGGTAATACATTCTAGGGCATGATTTCCATGAAACAGGTCTTTTGAATTAAAGATCTAAAATAAAAATTTCACCCCCCACCTCTAGTTTGGGAAGGGTGTTTTAAGCCTTAAGCATGCTCAGCATATTTTAGAGATTCAGAATTTATGATACTCACTTTCAACAAGTACAGAATTGTTTATACTACAAATATGCTCATAGTTTAAGATTCAAGAGCACCAGTACAATAGAACACAGAATAAATGTAGCATTTCATTTACATTTATTTGAGGCATAAAAATCAATCTGATATAATAGCAGGGGATGGTTCTATTTAACTTTGGAGAATTATTTTAAATCATTATAATGGGCTTTGCAGAAACTAAACAAAATCATTCTAGGAACTCACTGAAATAACGGTAGAGTAAGTGTCTAAACTGCTTGCAAAAGAGACCAAAGAAAATGACCGAAATGACTATATCCTACTATCGAATCAAGTAGAATACGTTGAAGAGCCATGTGAAACAGTCTATAATGATCGCAGGTGCAAAGCTAACTGACCCCTGAAGTGAAATGATCAGCTTGTAAGTCAAGAAGAACAGCTGAAAGGCTTGAGACCCTAGAGATGGTTTTATGCTTGGATCTTGGCATGTTTTCATGAATTGACTGCCGCATCCGCATCTCAAAAAGAGTGCTCAGTTCTGAAAGGGATGAACAGCAGCAAGACAAAAGGACACTTTGCACTCTCCCAGCAGTATGAAACTGATCAAGCCTTTTGGGAAATAAATTTGGCAAGACATTAAAACCGTATATCCCTATATCCAGTTCTAAAGAAATCAATCAGAAACTATTTTATTAGCATGTTTACCAAGAAATTTCTAATGATAGGAAAAAAACCCAAAAAACCCTGGCACAATAGACTTTCTAAATGAATTATATGCTGCTGTTAGACACAGAATGAAAGATTGAATTTTTTTCTGTGTGTACATTAAGATAATAGTGGCTCTCATTTAGTTAGAGTAAGATTTTTTTCACGTGCTTATACTTCTGTAATGTCCAAATTTTATTTCCAAGTTTTACTTTAGCACACTGAATAATGTAGGATCAGAAATAACAAATAGGAACTATATTCAATATCTTGTAATACCTTATAATGGAAAAAATCTGAAAAAGTACATATATATATATATATATATATAACTGAATTGCTTTGATATATACCTAAAACATTGCAAACGAACTATATTTTAATTAACAAATAAATTAGTTAAACAAAAAGAGGATAGAAATAACGCAAAGCCACCAACCTGCTGAACTTCAGCTGCTGTGCTCCTGAAGAGTTCGATGTATCTTTTACCCAACAGGTCTTTATGCTTCCTCAGTGCGTTCTGGGCATATTCCTCGCAAGCAAAGAGGACAAAAGCATCCCCCGTGGGCCTACCATCCGGGTAGGTAACAAAGAGGATGCCTTCCTTCCCCCCAGTGATGGGGCAATGCTGTCCAAAGAAGGCCACCACTTCATCAGCCGTGGCCGTGAAGGGGAGCCCCCGCATGCGGACAATGACTTGGTTTTCCTTGGAGAGAAACTGGGCCACCTCATTGGATGTACCTGGGAGCACCAACAGCAGGAAGCACAGGAGAAATGGTTAAGACTCCACCAAAATAAAACAGTGAAATCTTTGGCAATGTCCTGAATTTATAATTAAGACCTGCACTACCACATGAATTCATAGTAACATCCCAGGAATCAGAACTCTCTTCCAATTAATTTGCAACTTCCACTCTACCATTTTCATAAAATACCTCTCTTAATGTAGGAAAGTAGCCATACAGTTAAATCATGGACTAACACACATTCTTGGAGGAAAAGCAACTAGTCATAATGGTTAAGGGCACAGATCCTGAAGCTAGAATGCCTGGGTGCAACTGTGGCTATTTATCATTTTCCAGGCTGTGACCTCAGTCAAGTTTAATCTCTGTACCTCAGTTTGCTCATCTGTAAAATGGGAGTAAAATTACCTACCTCATAAATTATGAGAATAAGTGATTACATACAAAGCACTTAGTGATTTTTGTTATTATTTTCCTAATTACTTTTTATTAGGAAAGGTCCAAACATACTCAAGTAGAGAGGATAATGAACACATTTGGCAGCTAGTTTCAACATTTATCAATACTCTGCTGAACATGAAGCATTTTGTCCAGTGCTGCCTTGCAGCAAATACTCAAACACTCGGTCAGCTTTGCCACCTGTGATGTACAATGTTATCTACCATGAAACCTCAAGACCGTAGCACTTCAAAATATACTTTATCCCCAATGAATATCAAACATCGGAAACCCTATTAAACTTGAAGTTTTGAACTTGGAAGCCTTGGTTCATTTCAAGAAATAAGTGCAAGAAATATACCAGCAGATTGTATCAACACAATGTTGTTACTACAAGTTTTACAGTTGTAAAGATTTTTATAAGAGATAAATAATAAAATGATAATGAAGGGGTATAAAAGTTCTCTGTATTTAAGTGAAAGCCACCTTGGCATATTTTGGCAATGTGTGTCAAAAACCCCTTAAGATGTCCATATTTTTTGATCTAGTTATCTCATTTTTAGGAATTTATCCTAATGAGTGGCACATACAGAGATACAAAAGTATTCACTGCAACATATAGAGTGAAAAGTTGGGCAATCAGAGCTTGTTTCCAATACGAGTGTTTTTATAAAAAAATTATGGTAAATTGCATGTGTGTGCTAAAGTGAAAGTGAAGTCGCTCAGTCATGTCCAACTTGTAGCGACCCCATGGACTGCAGCCCACCAGGCTCCTCTGTCCATGAGATTTTCTGGGCAAGAGTACTGGAGTCGGTTGCCATTTCCTTCTCCAGGGGATCTTCCTGACACAGGGATCAAACCCTCATCTTGTGCCTCTCCTTATTGGCAGGTGAATTCTTTACCACTAGTGCCACCTGGGAAGCCCAAGAATGAGCACTGAGGAAAATTGAGATATTTAAGAAGATATTCATAACATACTAAAAGGAGAAAGGAAATTAAAGCAATATGAGGAAAGAAAAACATCTGTTGGACAAACCACAGTTGACATTTTTTATGTATCTGTTATTTTTAGGTTTTAAAGTTACAAATCACTCCACAATTAGATAGACTTCCTATTCCTACTTCTTTTTGACCATACTACTTCAAACATCACACATTCTAAAATAGTAGAAGCCAGAAAGCTACCATGTTCCCGGCCACTGATGAGTTATGAAGTTGAGAGAAAAATTAGAAGCAGATAGGCCAAAAAAAAAAAGAAGCAGATATGCAACGATTCCAGGTATTTAGGTATGGCGGTTATGGCCGTTTGAAAGTTTTCAGACTATTTAATTTCTTTCATGAACTACTCTTTCCCTTTGTACATGACGTTACACGTACCCTTTGGCCTTTGTATAGAAGTATTTTTAACTGCTATTTAACTACAGTTGGTTGACTTAAGCCTTAGGACAAGTGTAACACAGTACACGACCTGATACCGCTGGATATTTCTTCCTCTTATCGAAAGAATAAAAGTCAATTCGTATGTTTCATTGGGAGTGAAAAAACAATCATGAGTGTATTTATCTGCCTTTGGTATAGAAGTAAAATTTTAGATCCTTCTCAATATAGCCACATTGTATGGAAGGTACTCACCGCCAGCAATTTTAAGAAAATCTTCACCGGTTGCTTTGTAAACCTAAGGAAAGACAAAGGGAAATGAAATGCAGTTTCTGAGCCTTCTGACGTGCACCCTCGTGCAGGACGCCAGGCCTGTCAGGACGTCGCCGGTCAGGCCGAGCACCTACCTCGATGTACCGGCTCCCCATGTGGTGTTTGTGTCTCTGCAGAGCTAGGTCTCTGTGCTCCTCGCTCACAAACCTAACCAGGGCTTCTCCGTTCCTCCGCCCCTGGGCATTCAGACAAAGTGCGGCACCGCCCCTTTGAAAAATAACCGAACAGAAAACAATGGGGGAGACAAATAACAGTAAGGAGGAAAAAAATGACACATCTACGTATCCCCTTTGGGACTGTTAAGTCTAATAGAGATTAAGGAAAACCAACTTGGCAATGTTGAGTCCTTTGAAGAATCTTGCAATATCTTGATCCGAAGACTGCCATGGTAAACCTCGTGCCCTGACTACCGTGTTGTCATCAATAAGTTCCATCTTGCTGCTGTGGATCAAGCAAAACTTCAGCTTATGTGATTAAAGCTAGGCAGTCTGACCTATTACCCCCTCCTAAGACAACTGGCCTATTTGCACTTGAGCTATTCTTCATTTGGAGTTCAGACAGACTTGTCATACTGCTCAGTGTACTTCGTAACTTCAAAAATTCTATGGGTATATAGTTCAAAGTATTCTTTAGGTGGGTAACTAACTATACAAAGGCAACTGCCTATGCAAGTTCAGCAAGCCACCTATCAGCTAAGCTGCTGCTTCCTTGCTCTCACAAGAACCTAAGATCAACTCATAGGAAGAAAACTCCTCCCAACAGCCTGATGGCCTGTAAGTTCCTAGAGCTGGGAAGGGTAGGTTTAAACTCATTCTCTGATCCGGCCAGTACACTAGTGGGGTTTAGATCCAGCTTGACGGCAAAAACTTGAGATTCCCATAAAGCTGGTAATTAACCCACATCAGTAATGCGTGCACGTGGTCAGAAGTCTGCCATTAAAATATCTCCCCTATCAAACAGGGAGGCATCACAGAGTGTTTATGGAAATGCTTGGGAGTTCCCACACCTTAATGAGTCATTTGTAAATCACCTATTCTATATTTTGACATCTTTTGATGTTCTATTCCTCCCATATTTTTATTTTCAGTACTCTGAGGACATTTCTTAATGAGTCACTTTCCCCACAACTAAATAGGCCTCAGTGTCTCTCTAATGGGCAAAGATGTCAGAAGTTTCTGTTCACTTCAGGCACCAAGTAATCTCATGCAAGCCACTGCAGTGATGTACAAACAGGTCTACCTGTGATCACAAACAGAGATACCACCACCTCATACTTCTCCCTACTTATTTCCCATGCTTCAAAGTAGGACCTCATAGAACATACTTAAAATTATCTCCGTAAAAACCTTGTGAACTCTTTTAAGCCCTGTGATTTTTCCCCCTTGGAAGTTTTCCAGCGAGGATGGACAGTTCAGAGGCTAAAATCAAAATCACAGATAGGAACACAAGATGTCCCCTAAGGCCATAGTGACTAAGGATACAAATATTTCATGAAATGTTAATTCCAACATCCAAGCTCACTTTAAATCACAATCTCCTTTAATGAATGACGTACTAGTAAAAAAAATGGATAGCCAAAAGGGTCAGTAAAGTCACTAAAATATAAGGGGAGTTAAATACCACAATATGAATACAAACACATTGAAAGACTCAAATGGAGTAGTATGCAAGTACTTACCAAGTGCCACTTTCAAATTTGTAATTTACTCTCTCAGGATCTGAAAACCTGTGATCTAAAATGAGAACATCCAAGTTATCCTTTTAGCTGGAGAAAAAGCTGTGAGTGTGCGTGTGTGTGTGTGGGTATGGGTGGGGTAATTAGCTGGAGAGAAAGCTGTGAGTGTGCGTGGGGGTGTGTGTGTGTGTGTGTGTGTGGGTATGGGTGGGGTGGGGCAGAACAGGACTCAGCAGCTTAGATGACGGAAAGTGGATGGGATCAGATTCTAGGTCCCCACTGTTATAACACCAATACTTACTGTAAGGGTCTGAAATCATTGCTAAGATTATATTTCCCATATTTTCAACTTGAGATGCTCCATACCGGGAGGCTGAACTATTCTTCTCAAAATTTAAACCTGGGAAATTAAGTTGAGGAAATATTTGGGGGAGGTAAAATGAGCTTGCTTTTAACCCCAAATTAAACTGTCATGGAGCCAAGAAGAAGCCAAGTAAAATGCATCTAGACTGAAAATTCTTTGAACTCTCAGAACAGTTGCTTCCCATCAGTCTGGATTTTACCCACAGTTCCTAAAGTATCCAATTGCCCCTTTGGACTAAGATGACCAAATCAATCCTGTCCTGAGGAATAATACCAGGAATAAAATGTTTATTGAGGGGAAGCAAATGCATGAATAATGAGCACTTTACTGTCAAACCATGACGTATACAGCGAAATTAACAGAATCCCTACCTTACCTTCACAGCACACGCAAGCAACGACCATGCTGACCTAAAGATATAGTTATATCTACCAAAATCACAAGGTATTAAATGGCTTTAAGCCTAATGTTCAAAAACTTTTCAGAATAGATAACATTGTATCTCTGATATTATTTTTATCCTGAACTCCTTTTTACAAGATTTTTGGAGTCCCATAACACAGTTATCTTGGATGGCAACAAATGCTTGTCTTTTCAGAGTAGATGTATAGAAACAACTCAAGCACTCAGGGTCAACAGTGACCAATGTGACTTCTGATCAAGTGAGTACACTGTCTGGATAAGCCAGGAAACATTGCTTTTAAGAAATGCTTGGCTCAAGTTGTGTTGAGGGTGCAACCAAAAGAGGTTTCTGCCAGGTTTTATCAATTTGCAGTCTAAAGCATGTGACTTTGTCAAAATAGTCACCTTAGAAAGCCAACAGTCATTAAAATGGTTCATTTCTTTATTTTCAAGCTTCAGTGCTATAGTCACTTTGTCATGAATTCACTTTAAGTTTTATAGTGTAGTACAATGCACGTAACAAATAATACAATAGGACTACCTTTTCTTGAGTTTAAAATGAAAACAGCCGTCTCCATGGTGGTTGTTAAAATGTTTGCCTCATTTTATAAAAATGTTTTGTGATTGGTATTTTGTAATATGGGTAAAAAATGGACAAATATTAATAAAAAGTAGGTAACATTTAACTGCAAATAAAGAGGATACAGCATAAAAACAACTCAGAGATCTCTTTCCCACCAAGAATTATAGCCAGTCTTCTGAATGAGTAATATTCTTTTCTATTCTCACTTCAAAATCCCTTTCTATTTCATACCCATTGGCTTCCTCTTTCCCTTCTCCAATAAACAGACATTGCATTGCTTTCCCCCACGATAGGCAAATTTATTTTTCTGTTGTCCTTCAACCAGTTCCATTTCTCTGTAGTTAAATATACTACATGTAGAAAGACAGCCATATGTTCCTTGGCAAATTACTTAACCCCACTAAACTTCATGCTATTTGTAAAGCCAAAGCTGTGATCATCTTTACCTTCCTGGACTTTTGTGAAGATTAAATGAGATAAAACAAGCTGAGGACACAAAGCAGGCATTTAATACTTGAAGCTCCCCGCTTTTAGGTGACCAACTTTCATAACCCATGATAAGGCCACTTTAAGACGGTCACATTTATGACTAAAAAAAAATCTGAGCTCACCAGATGCCTATTTGTATACTCACAGGATAATCATCAAGCTAAAATGGTGGATAATTTCTGCATTCCCCCTTTAGCCTCACCCTTTACATTAATCACCAAGTGAAGAAATAAATGTGCTGCCCACTGAGGGATTAGAAAATCAATCCCAGGAGATGTTCAAGCTACCGAGTAATGACCGCTGACCGGGGTCATTAAAATGATTGTCCTTGGTCAGTCTATGACAAAGGAGGCAAGACTACACGATGTTGGAACCAGTCTCTTCAACAGATGGTGCTGGGAAAACTGGACAACTACATGTAAAAAAAAATGAAATTAGATTATTCTTTAACATGATACACAAAAAGAAGCCCCAAATGGATTAACGACCTAAATACAAGACCAGACACAATAAAACTCGTATCTTTTTTCGACCCATCTACCAGAATAATGGAAATAAAAACAAAAGTAAACAAATGGGACCTGCTGCTGCTAAGTTGCTTCAGACGTGTCCGACTCTGTGCGATCCCCTAGACGGCAGCCCACCAGGCTCCCCCGTCCCTGGGATTCTCCAGGCAAGAACACTGGAGTGGGTTGCCATTTCCTTCTCCAATGCATGAAAGTGAAAAGTGAAAGTGAAGTTGCTCAGTCATGTCCGACTCTCCGCAACCCCATGGACTGCAGCCCACCAGACTCCTCCGTCCATGGGGTTTTCCAGGCAAGAGTACTGGAGTGGGGTGCCATTGCTTTCTCCGCAAATGGGACCTACTTCAACTCAAAAGCTTTTGCACAGCAAAAGAAACAACAAATCAAAAAGACAACCCACAGACTGGGAGAAAATATTTGCACATGATATGACTGTCAACAGATTAGTTTCCAAAATTTACAAACAGCTCATGATGCTTAACAACATCAAAACAAACACATCAATCAACAAATGGGCAGAAGACCGAAATAGACATTTCACCAAAGGAGACATACAGATGGCCAAGAGACACATGAAAGATGTTCAACGTCACTAATGCTGGAGAAATGTGAATCAAAACTACAAAACTACAATGAGATATCACCTCACACCAGCCAGAATGGGTATCATCAAAAAAGATCCAGAAACAATAAATGCTGGAGAGGGCGTAGAGAGAAGAACCCTCCTACACTGTTGGTGGGAATGTAAATTGATACAGCCAGTACGGAGAACAGTAGGGAGACTCCTTAAAAAACTAAGAAACAGTGCTACCATATGACCCTGCAATCGCACAACTGGGCATATGTTCGTGCTTCTGCGTGCTAAGTCTGACTCTGTGTGACCCTATGGATTGTAGCCCACCAGGCTCCTCTGTCCCTGGGATTCTCTCGGCGAGAATACTGGAGTGGGTTGCCATGCCTTTCTGCAGGGGATCCCCCCAACCCAGGGATCAAACCCGAGTCTGCCTCCTGCATTGGCAGGCAGGTTCTTTACTACCAGCACCACCAGGGAAGAATGTGCAGAACGTGCCAAAACAGAACGTGCTCGGGTGTGCTCAGTCGAAACGCTGAGCATGTATATTCGAAGAAAAACATGATCTGAAAGGATACATGTGTCCCAATGTTCACTGCAGCACTGCTGACAACAGCAACCTGATAGCGTGGAAGCAGCCTAAATGTTCCTTAACAGAGGAAGGGATAAAGAGGATGTGGTACATATACACAATGGAGTATTACTCAGCCATTAAAAAGAATGAAATAATGCCATTTGCAGCAACATGGATGGGCCTAGAGACTGTCATACTGAATGAAGTCAGAGGAAGGAGAAATAGTGTGATATCCCTTATATGCAGAATCTAAACAGAAACGATACAAATGAACTTGCCAAACAGAAAAGACTCACACACTTAGAGAATGAACTTATAGTTCCCTGGACACACTACTATATTTTAAATGGATAACCAACAAGGACCTACTGTATAGCATAGGGAACTCTGCTCCATGTTAGGTGGAAGCTGGATGGGAGGGCAGTTTGGGGAAGAATGGATCCATGTCTATGTATGACTGAGTCCCTTCCCTGCTACCTGAAACTATCATAACATTGTCTATGCCCCAACACAAAATAGAAGCTTTTAAAAAAATGATTATCATTGGAAGACTATACTGTTTTTATGAATTCAGAGCCATTTTCAAAGAATGTAATGACAGGACAAAAAACTGGAGCCAAAAGATGAAGATGCTTTAGGAAGACAATTGCCCTAAGTTTTCTGGGGAGACGGGAGGGACTTTAAGGGCCTTTACAGAACTGAGAGCTGTGACTAGCCATAATGTATCATGTAAACTATGCCACCAGTCGTCTAGAACCCTGCAATTCTTGTAACACTTTCCCTCTTGTAAGGGCCTACAATGAAGTACAGAGAAGGATATCCAAGAAACAGAGACCAATCCCATCCATCATAAAGGCAAGGTTTCTCAACCTCAGCATCAGTGGCATGTAGGGCAGATAAATCTTTGTTGGGAGTGGGGGTGGTGTCTTGTGTACTATAGGATTTTTAGTACCATGCTAACCTCTACCTACTACTAGTTTTAACAATTAAAAACGTCTCCTCTCACCCCCCAAAAAAGTCTCCAGATCTTTGCCAAGTGTCTCCAAATGGGCAAAATCTAGCCCAGGTTTAGAAACACCATTAAAAGCTAACAGCTCCAAAGAGTGGCAACTTAACCCCTTACTACAGATTCAGAGAAAAGTTTTACATGTAGGAGATCATTACTGGACAGAAAGTTTGAAGATATCTGACCAAGGAAACACTGCATAAGGCAATTTGATGCTTTGGCAAAACTCCAATCAGGAGAGACACATAGACACACACCCTACACCTTAAGGAACATGGATGAAAACACAGCATAAGGCAACCCTTGACCCTCACTCAATTTTTGGGCAATCCAGAGAAAAGTATGGCTTTCCTGTTTTTAAAAGGATTGTAAAGAACAAATGAGAAGTGATTGTACGTGGCCTGCAAAATCTAAAACATTGATTCTCTAGCCCTGTAGTGAATAAAATTGCTAACTTCTGATTTGGAAGAATAAAATTGCCAAAAATAGAGAATGCTACAGAAATATTTGCCACATTATAACTTTCTATCCCAAAACAGAATCTTGGGGGGAAATTAAACTTTGAAGGAACTGCATGGGGAGAGTATGCTCCATTCAAACCAGTTTTTTCTCTTCTGTAAATGACAAGAGGCATAAGCCTTCTCACCTCTGCTCAGGTAACTCCCCTTTAAAATCCTCTTATCTTCATAATCCCTTAACCAAATTAGACCATGGGTCACTCCCACTCAGCACCAAAGCCTTCCCTAACTGCTTGAGGTCACAACCATCAATCTGAGTTGATTAGATACTATTTCTATACAATATTAATATGACTCTCGTCAACTCTACTTTGCACTTCCTGAGCACAGGTTCCCTTTCCTCTGATCTCTTTCCATCTACCACAGCAC